CCAGGATCACATCTCTCCAAATTCGTCTTCATTTTTATTACGGATTAGGGTGTGGTCCTTTTGTCAGGACCACATATCTCTGAACCCGTCTTCATTTTATTAACCATTTTCCTAGAGGATCGGTATTCACTTAATAAACCATTTTTATTCCGGAGGGCCGGTCTTCATTCTGACTTGGCTTCTTTCGTCAAAGTCTTATGTTTATAAAGACGAACTTCACCTCTTTGAATTGCAGCACTGCTTCTTTTTCCACGGCTTTTTAAATTTATGCCTTACTTCTTTTGCGGTGCCTTTTTAATCTGAACCTGACTTCATTCGCCGTGGTTTTTTAATTTGAGTTGGCTTTCTTCTCAATCTACAAGAGTGAAATGTCGACATCTTGATTTTAAGTTTGGGGAGGCAGTATTCGCCTTTTTTCTCGAGCCTGTCTTCGCTTGCCTCTGCTCTTCTTTCAGCTTTGCTTCCTTCGCCTAAATCTTGTATTGGACTTCATCTTTAATTGGAGCCCAAAACTTTGACCGACTCGGCTCTCTAGCCAAATCTTATTTGAGTGGATCTCCACATCACATGTTTGATTATTCCTTGCAAAAATAAATGCATCGTAGTAAATTATAAAGAAGACAATTAGCAATGATTTTGTTTCAATCAGAAATCAATAATTATCTAGTTGTAATCAGGTAGTAATTACAATTAGAAATTAATAATAATTGACCTGCAGGAATCAACAATTAATATTAGTTGACCATATTTCATGCTATCGGATCTGATTGGGCATCCATCATAATGGCTCCATGCTCCCCAATTTTCTTGATCTTCATTTATACTCCATGAAACATAGGGAACGTGGCCTCATTGTGAAACCCGATGCTCCTTTATCATGATAATATTCGAAATATTTGTCGACCTGCTTTTGCCGACAATAATAAACACTTGTATAGCAATGTTGACAAACTTTCAAAATTATGCATCCCGCATATCAATTCTTATAGAAATTTCAAATCATATAAAAAATTTATCCAGCAAGAATATCATATAAAGATCATGATAATAGTTGACGAGATATAAAAGTAAGGAAAAGAATGCTTCCCTGTTATTTTGTAACCATCCTGCTTACAATAGAGGACGATTCCTACAAGAAGGAACATAAACTGGCTCGGGTCTTTTTAATTTGGGTCTATTGGCATAGTTCCATCGTGTTATTCTCACGCCTATTGAAATCTGATCCCAGTTTTGGTCATGATGCCGAACTGTCATAATTATTGAAGCCTAATCCTGGCTCTGGTCATGACTTGGTCGAGATGCTTATTGTTGGATGTTGGCCGAGATGCCTATTGAAGTCGGCTTTGGATTTCAATCCAACTACTTTTCAACCTCCATTTGTTCAAGCTCCAAGTATTTCTTAGACCGTGTAGTGAACTCGACTAAAGTCTGGACTGGGTCTTTGTCCACTGATTTAGCCAATCTAGAAGAGCCATGTAGCCCGGCAATTACCAGATGCAAATGGACATTCTCAGATAACCCGGTCAGCTGTAGGGCGGCCATTTTAAAACGGTCTGGGCATTTCTGCAGGGATTCCCCAGGTTGCTGTCTTATCTTTCCCAGTGCAAACTCTGACTTGGGCTGCTTTTTTCTCGTAGCAAAATTCAGTAGGAATCTCCCTCCAAATTCTTCAAAAGATCTAATAGACCCCGAAGGTAGAGATGAAAACCATGCTTGATCTGCTCCAGTCAATGTAGTTGCAAACAGTCGGGTTATCAGAGGTTCCTCTATTCCCTTAATATACATTGTTGTATCAAAGGTATCCAAATGGACCTGGGGATCTTGCGTCCCGTCATACTTAGGAATCTCTGATAAGTTTAGGTTCTCTGGAAAGGGTGCGTCCACGATTTCGTCCACGAAAGGGCTGTCATTGTATTGTCCCCGGTGATATTTCCTCCTATAGACCCCGGCCACATCATCTGGGTTTCTGAATGGGCGCCTCCCATCCAGACGTTCGGGGTCCTCTCTCTGTCTTTCCGTTTCTCTCTCTGCCTTCTTCCTGCCGGGGTCCCTGGCCACCAGCCGTGTTGAAAGTGTTCCTTTGAGGTCGGCCAAGTACGCTTTAAACATCCCTCCTTTGAGTTTGGGTCCTATCATTGTTCTGGGGATTTGTGATCCTCAAATCATTCATGACCCGGGTTATGGCTAACTCCGGATTTGGGTTAGAGACTCGCCCTAGCCGAGCTTCTAACTCGCGCATCTGTCTAGCACCTTGCTCTCTCTCGAGCTCGTGCCTTCGCTCCATCTCCTCTATCAATGAATCTGAGTCACTTTTGAGTTAAAAAGTGTACTCAGTGAAAATTAAGGGGTATAAATGGGTGTAGGAAAAAGTACCCAAAATATAAAAATAAAAGTGGAAATGTTCCTAGAATAATATTCCAGATTTTTGGGTGAAGTTTGGTAATTATTGGAGTTAAATAGATAGATGAACTGATACCCACTTAAAACCACTTAACATAAGGTTAAGTGGCATAAAACACAAAAAGAGACCCATTGTCCCTCCCAACCCGTCGCCAGCACCAGAAAGAAGAAGAAGGAGAAGGAGGAGAAAGGGAGAGAGAAGAAGAAAGAGAGGAGGGAGCAAATCCTAACCGATTGGAGTGATTCAAAAGCCTAAACCACTCTAAATCTTCCCCTCTTTCATAATCTAAGCTTAGTTTTAAGTGGGGAGCATTGTGGAGAGAGATATTGCCTCTCAAAAAATTCGGCTCTTTGTGAGATTTTGGGGTTTTGGGAATTTCTACTTCCATGGGAGCTTGAGGAACGCCCCTTGCTTGGTTGTGCAACCGTTGGTGGTAAGATTCTACCCCTTGAACATCATGGTTCCTTGAAATTGCATGAGTTAGGGTTTATGAATAGTGTTTTAGGGTTTTTGATGAAATGTTGTTAAATTAGCTATGTTCTAGGAAGAATGGAGCTTAGAGCATGTTGTGGAAAATGCTAGGAACGACATTTAATCGGTGAAAATGAGCTTAGATAGCTAAATGAGTATATTTGGAAAATGGCAAGAATATGACACTTAGATATTGGATTTCTTGCATTGTTAATAAATGGTTTGGTTTGGTTGGTTGTTGATTATGCCTTGGTGTTGTCTAGGATTGAGGCAATTGGACCAACATTGAGTGACCAACCGTTGGAGCAAGTTATGGAGCTTGATTAGCTCATTGGAATAGGTTTTATTTGAAAAGAGTGATTATTGTAATTGGCTGCTGAAACTGTTGGTGAAGAACAAAGGTCGACTGAAGCATTGAGGTAAGCCTTCGGACCTTGGGTGTAATTCCCTTTACTGTTCTACCAAGCCCTGAAAGGGTAGAGGTTGTGATTGTGTATATAAATGCAATAAAATAGTGTAATGCTTTGTTATACGTATGTGTATGCATTTAGTGTGGCATAGGATGGTGTTTCCCTATGTTGGTATGTTGCATGACGATGCGTAAATCATACTTGGTAGTTAGCTGGCCAGTAGGACTATTTGCATATGCGTTTCCTTAGGACAGCTTGAGAGCTCGAGGGATTTCTCCTGGAGATGTTATTGCACTTTGCATAGATATGTATTTACTGCATTATTATTGTTATTGTTATTACACTGATATGGAACTGTGGGCTGGAGAGATACTCCAAGGACTCCTGGTTTACTGGATATATTCGTATATCTCACCCCGTGTTGTGGGGACCCCCTTTCAGGTAAGGAAGCTGCAGGAGCCTCTGATGGCAAGTGTCCTTATTTGCAGTAGATCATGCATGAAGAAAATGATGTTTTGAAATCATACATGTTATTTTGTAGATTTACATGTATAGGATTGATCATTGATAGCATTGACGTATGTATATCTCGTTATATTTGATGGACTTAGCCTATGATCATGCCATTGGATATCTTTTTTGTTGATGAGAGCCAAGGGATGATCATAGCCTTTTGTAGCTAAGTTTCCCGTTATGTAATTAAACTTGTGTTAATGTTATTTACTTCAAGGTTATGAATGCATGATGAATATTGGAAATGTTGAGCTGAATTGTCTATTAGGAGCTAAGCTGTTAGATTGGGAAAAATTGAGAAAACAAAAGTTATGCTGCCCAAATTCTAGCTAAATCTCATGAGGAGAGGTTGGATAAGTACTAGGATTAAGTTTTGAGGCATGAACAATTGGGGTTTGGAATGGGGATGCATATTCCCCTAGACTTGGACTTGAAAAATGAGGGTATTGGAATTCCCTAGCAGCGCGCTTTAGCGCCCTGCTGCCCCTGGGTGAGCCAATTCTCACTGCCTCCTCGCGCTTGAGCACCCTGGTTTGCGCTTAAGCGCTCTTTGCTGCGAAAAGATAGAATTTTTACTGTCTCCCCGGGCTTTAGCGCCCAGAGTGGGGGCTTAAGCGCCCAGGATATCGCGCTTGAGCGCCCTGGTGCGCGCTTAAGCGCCCATTTACACTGAAAGACCTGATGCTCTCAGCCTCCTTGCGCTTAAGTGCCCAGATGGAGGCTTTAGCGCCCGATAACTCGCGCTTGAGCGCCCTGTAGCGCGCTGAAGCGCGCGGGGCCTGTGTCCAACATACACTTTTGTTTCTCTAATTGGTCATAGCGCGAGCTACAGTGCTCCAAATTGGACGCGGTTTGAAACCACGCGTAGCTAATTAAGAGGTCTACAATGTGGTGGTAGTTGGGAAATAAATAAGAAGTAAATTAATGGTTTAAAAATGGAACAAGAACATGATGTTAAGCTTGGTTTATCTGATTCCGCAAAGTAATATGGTTATGATCACGCAATTGGATATTTTAAATTCGGTGTCGTTTAAAAAGAAAATTTATCCGGATTTTTAATTGAGCCAATGTGATTGTAACTGCGCTTAATATCATAATGCGATGTTAACAAACCGGTTCTAGAACGGGGTGTTACAGCTGACCACACCTTGTTCATTAAACACAAGGAAGGAAAAGTGACCGTATTGATTGTCTATGTAGATGGCATGGTCCTGACAGGAGATGACATAGATGAGATGAAACTTCTGCAAAAGCAACTAGCAAGTGAATTCGAAATGAACGATCTAGGAGACTTAAAATACTTCTTGGGAATTGAGATAGCAAGATCAAAACAAGGTATTTATCTTTCACAAAGGAAATATGTACTAGATCTCCTCACTGAGACTGGAATGCTCGCGTGTAAGCCAACATAAACACCGATTGAGATGAATCATGTGCTTGGAATATTTTCGAATCAAAAGCCAGCAAATATTAGTCAGTACCAAAGGTTGGTTGGAAGACTGATATACTTGTCTCATACGAGACTAGATATTGCATATGCCATAAGTGTTGTAAGTCGCTTTATGCACAAACCAAGCGTAGATCACATGAATGCAGTGTACCGAATTCTGAGGTACTTAAAGGGTGCCCCTAGCCGAGGATTGTTGTTCTCAAAAAACAATGTCACATGTGTTGAAGGTTACACTGACTCTGATTGGGCTGGAGATAAAACAACAAGGCATTCCACATCAGGCTATTTCACCTTCGTGGAAGGTAATTTAGTTACTTGGAAAAGCAAGAAACAGAAAGTAGTAGCAAGATCAAGTGCAGAAGCTGAATTTTGAGGCATGGCTCAAGGAGTATGTGAGCTACTGTGGGTCAACAGCATATTAAAAGACTTGGGAATTTGTTATGACAAACCAATGAATCTTTATTGCGATAACAAGGCTACCATTGAAATAGCAAATAATCCTGTGCAACATTACCGAACCAAACATGTGGAGATCGATCGACATTTTATCAAGGAGAAGCTAGATCAGAAAATTATACAGTTCTCATTTGTTAAATCTGAAGATCAATTAGCTGATATACTTACTAAAGCTGTTTCTGGAAGAGTTTTTCAAGGTGCAATTGACAAGTTGAACATGATTGACATATATGCTCCAACTTGAGGGGGAGTGTTGAGTTGTATATTTTTTATAATTGGAAATATTTAATTTCTGATTTGATTGACCAATTTATGTAGTAATTAAAGGGAATCCGTTACATGGAGTGATTGTAGGAATTATGTGGAGAGATTTTAGGAGTTTTAATTTCCTGATTATTTGTAATTTTCTTCCTTGATTTATGGCTGATTTGTAGCCTGATTTATGTCTGATTTGTAACTCTAGGACTTTTTATATAATAACCTCTATTGAGGTAGAAGAAATACAAATGAATTACTATTCTATAGAGTTCTTTGATTTCTAACAATTACACATACTAGAAAATTAATGCATATTCATCGTCCGAAACTTACAACTCAACATTCTGTTTTTTCTGAAATATTCGTATTCTATATCCTTTTTTGCATTTATAAGGGTCAATGTTACTGAAAAGCAGAGACCAACTTCTTGCTGGCCATGTATGTACATAAGCCATTACTAACTCACAGCTTTGTCCATAAACTTCATCTAATGGTTCAATACCGAAGTTATGGTGGCTTGATTTTCCTCATTTTATAAATAATAAAGTGGCGACTCTTATGTAAATGGTGGCTTGACTATCATTTGCATGGACGTTTGCTTAGTTTATAAGGTAGTATGATTGTTGGTACAATGACCACAATGCCACACTTTTTGCAAAAAATTACTTGAATGTCACACTTTGCAAAAAAAAATTTAAAATGCCACGTCACCTAACTCGCTACAACACCTAGCGAGTTAGGTATTGACACGTAGCAGAAAGTGCATGACCTTGTAAAGATTACGTGGCATCAAACATGCTATGTAGCACAACATGTTTAGTCAGCTTCTGACACATGGCAAGCGTGCTATGTAGCATAGCATGTTTAGTCATCTTTTCTTACACGTGACAAACGTGTTATGCAGCATAGCATGTTACATGTATGTCATGAAATTAATTAACGCTCCTAAAAAAAATTAATTAATGGTTATAAAATAATTTAAATTAATTACTTTAGTTTAATTTAAATTCAGTCTTTATTAATTTAAATTATTTTATAACTATTAATTAATTATTTTAGGAGTATTAATTAATTTCATTTGAATTAGTTTAAGTTAAGTCAATTTTTTTTGAACCATTAAGTAATGTAATTTAATTTATGAGTGTTAATGAATTAAATGTAATTTATGTTTGTTAATTATTTTAATTTAATTTTATATTAATTTAAATTATTTTATGACACACGTATCATGCTGTGCTATATAGCACGTTTGCCACGTGTCAGAATTGTCACGTGTATGAAGCTGACTAAACATGCTATGCTGCATAGCATGTTTGATGCCACCTAATCGCGGCTTACGTGGCCAGCCATGCATCTTCAGCCACGTGTCAACACCTAACTTGCCAGGTGTTGTACCGAGTTAAGTGACGTGGCATTTTGAGAAAAAAAATGCAAAGCGTGGCATTCAGGTAATTTTTTGCAAAAAGTGTGGCACTTTGGTCGTTGGCCCATGATTGTTTTAAGGGTTTGATGTTTCTAATGTTATTGGAGATAAAATTATTTCTGATAAGTGTGTGAGCCTATGTGAAAAGAAAAAAGAAAAAATATGAATCTCGTATACTTTTATATGTGTATAGAAAATAATTTTATCTCCTAAATATGAAAGACATATTAAACCGTTATTTTAATGCATGAACTTCAGGAGAACTACTTCGCCGTCTAGTATATTGAGTCTAAAAAAAGTGGACTTTTATCACAAAGATAATGGGCCCAAGCCCTCGAATTACACATACCCTTGAGTACTTATATTGTAGTACTTATATCCATCTAATAAAAATAAACATTTGTGTTGACATGGTTTTTACGGAAAAAGAAAAATATATATTTATATATTTTCGAGAATACATAATAATAATTTTATTTTGAATGAAAGTTATATCCATTACTCCATGCGACTATAGTACCAAAAATATTCTAATGCATGACTTAAACTCATATGACTGATAAGTTTTTTTACACCATATATTAAAAAGAATTTAAATATGAAGCGAAAGAAACTGCAAGAAAATTTGCTAGCATGTTAAAAATAAGGGCCCTAAGGCCTGGCAATGAATGGCTCTCCAATGATACAAAATCATATAGGTGCTAGTATTATTAAATGCACGTGTGTTCCCTTAGCTAATAAGTAATAAGGATAAGCATGCCACTGCCAGCATCCATGAAATAATATACTATAAAAAAAAAAAAAAGCAAAAGAAATTGCAAGGAACATTGGTCTGTTAATGTTCAAGTTTGGTTGGCCAATGTAAAGACGATAATTATCACCCACCATCGATTGGTCATAAAGTAATACTTTTTAGCCATGCATTTGACGCATGACGTCAAAAAGTTAAAAAAGGAAAGCTGCACTGCCCAACATTCTAATAATCTAATGACTATATTATATGTATCTTAAACTCTAAGATATCAATTCCATAACACTATGCTGGCTCGGAATCCCACTTATCAAATGAACAAAGCGAAGGGTTATTGTTAAGTTCATTGTGTTATTTTACTTTTTAAAACTTTTTTACTATATAAATTAGTTTCTTAAATTAATTTGCTAATAATTTCACTTCTTGTTCTATTATCAATTAATATAGACAAAAAATTTAGATACTAAAACAACGTAACTAACAATATTTTCTTTTTAGCAAATTATATATTCACTTTACTATGAAGACAGAAGACAAGTCAATGAATATAAAGCTCTCAGAAAAGTGGTATGTTTCTATCTCTACAAGTTCATTTTGGGCTTTAACTCTTTCCCTTTGCAATTTTGCAAAGCTCGAGTTGCATTATGTTGTTGTGTTGTGCCACATGCTATGCTAGAGAACACACCCTTCCATGGTAAACAACAAACCTATAGGAGTTGAAGCATGTGCTGCTGCATGCTCTGGTATTGTTGTCTTTTTCTCTTTCTCTCTCTCTCTCTCTCTCTCTCTGCTTTGGTCTTTGTGCCACTCTTCTTCTTTGAATGCTTCTCATCCTCTCGGGTTTCGAGGGTCTCTGTGTGTGTTTTGTAAAGCATGAACAAAGTGGGGTTCTCTTGAATGCCTTTTTAAAATGAGAAGATTCACCTTTCTTTTTTGACATTTTGCATAACCCAAATGCCTGTGGAATGGAAGGGGTGAGTAGCAACTAGATTTGTGTATTCATTGCAGAGTAGAGCAGTGGTCTGTTTCAGACAGCTTCTATGTCAGAATACTTGTTTCTCTCTCTCTCTCTCTCTCTCTCTCTCTCTCTCTCTCTCTCTCTTATTTTTCTAATCTCAAGATTTTCTCCATAGTTTAAGAATCTTTGTCTCAGACTTGTGAGACCCATTTGAATTTCTCTTGGAATCTCTAAATTTTTATTTGCAGATTTTTTTATTTTTTTTTTCATGGCAGTAGTTTATGTTGTGCTTTTCTTATTTTTTCTGTGGTCCCTGGTGAGTGTAATGAACATACTGTTTTCCAGATTCTGGGTTAGTTATAGAGGTTTTATCAAATCATGCAAGAAATACATTGGAAAAATCAATGAAGCAGGGAGTTAAGTAAGTTAGTTCATGTAAATAGCGTTTTGGCTATGAGAACTGTGAAATGTTTTAAATTGGGGATTTTGTACTTTGTGTCTTCCTTGTGGTTTATATATTTGTTTGTTGTTGTAGGTGAGAATCCTTGGTTGTTGAAATATCAGATGTTGTAAAGATTATTGAATTACCAGAATCTATTGATGAAGCAAACCAACTGAGTTCTTGGCAATACAAAGATCATTCCATAGTTAACTTGAAAATATTTACAATATCCTTTTAAGAGAGCATTTTGGACACCTTTGTGACATTTGAGCTTCTTAATCCAAGAGTTATTGTAACCAGACCCTGATGCAATGAAAAGTGTAAAACTAGCTATGCTTCTCTTCTTGTAAAATATAAATGCAGTTAATGAATAGAAATGGTCAAAGTTGCTGCTTTATAAATTTCCCAGGCTGTCCTTTGATCTTTCTGGAAAATTAGTCTAAAAACACTGTTGATTGGGTTCTCTTTGACATCTCTTACCTTCAGCTGTAGATAGTGTTATCAACTGATCATCAATCTTGCAAAATGGGCTGTGTTTTTTCAAGTATTGATGAGGATGAGAAATTTGGCATCTGCAAAGAGAGGAAGAAGGTAATGAAACGGTTGGTTGGTGTTAGAGGGGAGTTTTCTGATTCCCTATTAGCTTATTTGAAAGCATTGAGGAACACTGGTGCTACCCTTAGGCAATTCACTGAGTCTGATACATTAGAATCTGAAATTGCCTCTAGTGGCTTGACTGAGCCATCTTCTCCACTGTCTCATCTGCTACCACCACCACGGCCTTCTTTTCTTACTGACAAGACTATATTGCAAGTCTCCCAGGAGGAAACTCTAGAGAATGATGACAACAATGTTCCTACACTGCAAATTGATCCAAGTATGAGCTCATCGCAGCTAGTTCGACACACTGGTAAAAAAGAAATAGTAGAACCAGTTGAGGTGGATGATTGGCAAGAAGCCAAACCAGACTTTGATAAAGACACAGAAGAGGAAGCTGTTACAAAATCACGTAGTGGGAAGCAACAGTACATAGAACCAGTTGATGATAATTCCTGTGCAATGAGTTTGCATAGAAAAGAAACTACAGCTATGCTTATGGTGGTTGGTAGAAGTGGGAAAACATTGGAGGGTATAGGTAAAGAGTTAGATGATTATTTCCTGAAAGCATCGGCATGTATAAAGGAAATTGCTGTTATTATTGATATCAGTGGAGGAGATACTCTTCTGCGACAGAATTCTGGGCATCACAATAGTAAGGCTTCTTACTGTTTGCTCTTTAGGATTATGGAAGTTCCATAATGATCTATTAGGTGTTGCGATGGCTTGCACTTACCTTTTGCTTCCTGTCTTTTCGGTACTGGAACTTACATTGTTTCATTTGATGTTCATTATGCATGTCTTTAATACTCATAAAACTGAGCTTAGTTATTTCTTTTTAAAAAATGATTACATGTATGATTTCACAGCTTTTGTTATAACTTCTGAATTCATTAGGTATTAGAATTATTGAAGAGTTTTGTTGCATTTTTCAGAGGTCACAGACAGTCTTGCAATGGTAGATAAATCTAAACAATTAAGTTGTGAAGCCTTCATTTTAAGCTATCTTTTATGAAATGTAATTTGTAATAGCCTTTCTTGTTTTTTAATAATTTTATTCAAATGACATTGTAATATATTGTCTTATTTAGAGTTTGCATGAGCTAACTTGCACAATAAATAAATTTTAGCACATGACTTGGCATTTATTTTTTGAAAGGAATCTCATCTGGTACTATTTAAAATTGTTCAGGACACGATAAATTGGTCTTGATTTGGTCATCATTTTTTTCACTTGCCCATTTAAATTGTTTACTATGATTTTTACATCTAGTTTTCTATATTTGTAAAAATTACAGGATACAATTGTAATTAGAACAGTGGATTTGATCCATTTATAATTGTATGAAAAATGAAAAATAGAATTCGTGTTACCTGTTGTTTGAAAATGTTACACTTTTCTCTTTCTCGCCTGTGTCGATTACTGTTTCAGTAAGGTTACATGATTTCTTGTCATTTGCACATGAATTAAGTTTAAACAATGATGTAACTACTACCTCACATTGCGGACTGCAATATAGTGATTAGGAAGCGCTTAGACTACTAGGACAATGGATAAGCGCTTAATCATATAAAACATGATAACTTATAGGGAAAATAATGATTGTAGAAGACAGTCATGAAGACTAAATGTTATACATTTTGCTTAATCTATTCTTAATTTTTCTGAATTTTATCCACCTATCAAACTTAATCCACATGTTAATTTTCTGTGATGCACCATGTCTGGTGGCAGAATTATAGTTGATGTTTATTTTTTGAGATCATTCATTTCCTCTGTGGTATGGGCAGTGAAAATTTTCTTATTGTGGTTATGTTATTTGTAGGGAAGAGAGGCAATTCTTCAAAGGTCTTCAGTGTATTGTCACGTAGTTGGTATTCTAAGTCACACCAGTTCACCAAAGAAGATGCTGAGCTTTCTAGTCCTAGTGAACCATGCAAGCCCGGAGCTCATTGTGCCACACTCAAAAAATTATATGCCGCAGAGAAGAAACTTTTCAAGGCATTAAAGGTAAGCCAAATTGTAAGAACAATGAGCAGTCCAGGGTGCTGGTTTTTTATATCTCTGTCTAGTGCAGATGCGAAAGTTAGTCCAATTACCAGGAGTATAGGAAGACCAAAGAAACCACATGGAGGGATAAAATAATTAAAAAGACCTTTCTTAAATTGTTTTTGGGTAGAGCCCAATGGCTGCATCACTAGTCTTATAGTTGTGCAATAGAATTTTCCTTTGAGCTTGATAAGCACTTTACGATCATTATATTAAAACTGATTTCAAAATTGTCTTTAACATTATATTTATTTCGTTCATTTGAAGGAAAAATCTTTGTTTATGGATTCTAAGTCCTTTGACATGAATGCCCTTCTTTTCTCATTGTTCAAATATCATATAATGTAGGAGGAGGGAATTGCCAAATTGGAGTTTGAGAGGAAGTCCTTATTATTGCAAAAACAAGAGGAAGAGAACCTTGACTTGGTCAAGATCGACAAAACTCGAACAAGTGTTGAGAAGTTGGATTCTGAACTAATAAGCCTGCGGCAGACCATCAGTGAAACAACAACATCAATTCTGGAACTTATAGATGAGGAGCTTTTACCCCAACTGGTTGCATTAACTGCAGGGTATGTTTCTCAGAATTGGGTGCATTAGACTTAGTCCAACTTAATGACGTGATAGTATCAAATTTAGTTTGGCTATATTGTTTTATCTTCTTAAAGATATTTGAAGAAATATATCAAGAAATAGGGTGACTGTACGTAGCTCACGAGGACTCTACCTTGCATCTCCATGCAAGTAGCTGAGTCGTGCTAGTCTTACCCGAGATCACCAATGCCCATTATCGGTATCTCTATACTAGGAACATATTTCTGGCAATGGACGTGTGGTGTCATTGAGCCCTCATGATCGTGATCCCTATCACAAATCCTCAATGTGACACTCGTTCGTTCCATTCCAAGGGCTTTATCTAGTTACTCATATTCAATATTTGAGACATGCAATATGAAACAAGATAAATAATGCTTTTATTCATAAAATATAGTCATAACTAATAAAGAATTACATGGGTCCATCTGACTCATTGTCTCTAGGACACTATGTACTAACAGAAGGGTCTTCTGAAAATATCAAGTAATTTAGGAGGCAGATGGGGAACACAATTGAACAGTGTAATAATTATATCTGAATCTTCTCCTGGGTTTTGCTTTAAACTTTCGTTTGTTTTGCAGGTTGGCGCAAATGTGGAGTACAATGCAAGAGTGCCATCAGACCCAAGCACTCATCTCCCAGCAGTTGAGTAACCTCAGTGATAATCTTAACACAATACTAAATTCTGACTATCGTCAGCAGGCTACAAGTCAGTTCGAGACCGAGGCCTCTTATTGGTATAATAGCTTTTGCAAACTCGTAAAATCTCAACAGGAGTACGTAATGACCCTCTGTAAGTGGATCCAGCTTACCAACCACCTCAGGGATGGCCATGAATGTAGCAATCACTCCTTTATTCAATCCATTTGTGAACAGTGGAAGCTTGGCCTAAAGGAATTACCTGACGAGGTACTTATGCCTAAAATTTGATGTCCCTCTTTTTTTTCCCTTGTGTTTTGTTCATTTTTCTGAAGGGAGAAGTAGAAATTCTTTTAGGGGAGTTGTTTTGCTATTCTATTTACGTCTTCTTTCAACTCTGGGAAATTTCAGTGTTATTTTCCAAAATTCAAACTATTATAATTGCTTTGTTTTTCTTGAATTACTGCTGCCTCCTTATTGTTTTGTTATTATTGTTTCCACCTACAGTACTTGGCCCTTGGCTCTGCACTTCCAAGAAAATACAGTTAAGGCATAGCTCAAAGTTTTTAGTTTTGTCTCAGTCAGTAGAACAGAAACAAAACTAAGTTAGCCTAAGCACTTCTTGGCTTCAGGCTAGTAAACTTGTGGGCAGATTCAAGAATTTGCTAATTCTGTCTGTTTATGCGAGTTCAACCGAGTTTGTCAAGGTCTGAGTTTTGATGTGAGTTAACATGATTAGGTGACCTATGACTATAAGTTAACTCAGAATTTGACAAGCATTCTTGGCTTCACTAGTATGGAGTAGTATAGGGTATATCGAATTTGGTTTGTCTGAATTGTTAAGAGATATAAACCATTCTTGTGCTTTCTCTAAATAACTTAAGCTTTTAGGTTAAGTTGGTTCTTGGCATGGTTTCAAAGCCTTTTTGACCAAGTGGTTATGAGTCCAATCAATGTTATCGCTGTTGGCTTTTCCGTCCTCACTTCGAGTCACCTGCATTATACTATCATTTGTTATCACGACCAGCTCACCATTACAATCACTATTTACCCTAGCGTTGTCACCATTATCCAGTCACCATTATTTACACAAGTACATCTTCACTACTCCATTGCTATTGCTGCAAGTGGCAGAACCAAGATGATTTACTTGAGGGTGCAAATGGTTTTCATATTTAATATTTTTTTATAATCATTTTACTGTAGATCTAACTAAAAGTTTAGAACAATTTTCCAGCTATGCCTATGGGGGTATAGCTGCCGCCCTCATTAACCTATTTCTTCCCTTGATTCCTGCCACCTTCACTTTGTTACCATCATCATCACCTGAACTACCATAATGACATTATTCCCATTGCAACTAGCCTACCACTACTGATATAGATATATTCTGAGCCAGCACTATTTGACATCAACTCCATGGTCGTTGACACCATCACTTCCACAAACTATTGCCATCCTCATTACATTAAGACTTGTTACTGCTCTATACCCGTCACTATGATAATTTTTCTCTATGTACACCTCTTTCATAAACTCTTGGGTTTATCTAAAATAAAGGCATTTCTTATATGCCAAAGATAGCCAGAAGTGTAGTATGTGTTAAGAATAATCAGGTCTGATCTTGTTATTTGAAATGAAGGGATAAATTTCTGATATTGGTCATACAATGGACTTATATATTTCCTTCTCATCTAGCACCTCAAATTGAACTCTCGGACCATACATAAATTCATAAATAGTAGTTCCTTATTTGAAGTAGTGTCTTCATGGATTGTGTTCCTAGATAAATGATCTTAGTTTCATGGATTTAGGGGTATATTGTCCGTATTCTATGCAAACTATTTTACACACTAGAAGTTTCATGGATTAAAATATACTAAAAATTTTTTTACCATTAACTCTATGGATGGAAAGCAATAAGAAAATATTCCATGTAATGAACCAGTTCCCAGAACTGAAGGCAGATTTGATTCCTTAGCATATGTTACTGAAGTGGATCTCCAAGAACTTTTAGAATTTAGATGCTTTACTTGATTAGTTTATTTTGATTGTTTCTCTACTGTCTTATCTCTCGTTTAGTGTTGTAGTTCTTTATACATTATAATGTACTTATGGATATAAATCTAATGCTTTTTAACAATGGTTTAGTCAAGGCCAGAGAAATAAACTGCAATACATTTCCAGTTTTCAAGTGGCAAAGAATCTGAAAAAAAAAAAAAAATCAACAGTAAAAGACAGTTTGTAATCCAGGAGTAATTTTTGCGGTAAAAGATTCTCTCATGTCTCTTTTTAATATGATTATGTTATGTATCTCATCCATTTTTTGACAGATCAATGACCAACAATTAAAATTGCCATTTATTTATGAATTTTGTCATTAAAATTATGATCATTGATGTATTAATAAATGACTGAGATTTAACACATAAGATGGTGATGTTATAAAGAGGCATGAGAGGATCCATTCAAATTTTTGCTTGTCATAGATTGCACAACTGAATAGGATTTATGCTACTTCTGTGGGGCAAAACAACCTTAAGCATAGAGCCAGTGGTGCAGTGTGGTAGGATGTTTCTTGCAGCCCATCCTTGGGAGGTTTCACAGTATTTTAGAACTATACAAGTTTATATCAGTATAGGTGTGGATGTAGAGGCAGAGTGGTTATATTAAAAGAGATAAAGTAAGGAATTAGGATGTTATTTCGGTGACATATAAAGAAATTTGATGTTCCTACTTTCTCTGTCTGTCTCTGTCTCTTCTCTTTTTTTCCCCATAGCTATCTATCTCTAGTTTGCTAAATGATTCAGAATTTCATCTTCCAGCGCCTTTAGTTTCTTGTCTTCATCATTAGCAGCCTTTTTGCTGTCATAAATAATTATTGCAGGTGCAAATATTCCGAAAGTTTAGGTTGTTGAGTGAAAGCATATGAATGGTCTTATATCTAACATGCCCCCTCATCCAAAAGTCTTTTGGGCTCAAAGCATGGAAAATGCACAAAAGTTTTAACAAAAATATTTTTAGTACTCTCAGTATTGAAAACTTGGTATATCACTTGTCAAAGATGGAAAAAAATGACCCACCTACTTATATTTATTCTAGCTAACCTTCTATGGTTAATGTCATCTGAGTCCCACTTTTTTCTACCTTTTAGTAATGGAGTCTTGAAAATATTATCGTCATGAATTAAGTATATGAAAATCTTAAGCTGTTTGTGAAAAACCTAAATGATCATCTGTAATAGTTTTTTTGTCCAAAAACTTCGACTTCAAAACATTAATTGCTTCCTTATATTAAGGCTGTGTTCAAATGTTGTCTGGAAAGCTTAAATGATTTATTTGGAATAAAACATTACTTACTGCTGAAAGACACTTCCTTTTTTCCTCTATATTTCAAATGTCTAATGTATTTTATTAGTGAATTTTCTTGTGAAAGAGTAATACTTATAATTTTCTGCCACTCTGGTGTGGTTACAGGAGGCCTCTGATGCAATAAAAAACCTTTTGTCATCCATCCATTCCATAATCAACCAACAGGCTGATGAAGATAACATGCGGAAAAAGTTGGAAAAATTTGAAAGGAGGTTGCAAAAATGCTTGAACTCCCTGGCTGAAATGGAGAAAAAAATTGAATGGAGCTTTGAAAATGATGGAGATATAGCTGTTAATATGAGCCCCAACCATCCATTATATCTTAAAAAAACCAAAACAGAAGCCTTAAAGAAGCAAGTTGAAAGTGTGAGAGCAAATTATTTGAATTCTATCCAGTGTAGAAAAGTCATGACTCTAAATAATCTCAAAACTAGACTTCCACATCTCTTTCAGTCACTGATGGCATTTTCAAGTGCTTCAGTCCAGGCAATTGAGGTTATCCATACCCAATCAACCCAGTAGAATGCACTGATATTGCATCACAAAACTTTGTTTTCTTTTATGTGAGTAATCAGCTTGGGCTTCATGCTTATGAGCACAAAAAATATACTTTGGTTATGTAAATTTGTTGTTCTTGAGGGTCTGTATACTGAAACAAAAATTGTGGTGAGCCATTCTTTATGGCATTTTTGTATCCCTTCAACTCTACATACTACCATATACTGAATTTTTTAACGGATGACTTTGAAGGCTATTATTAATATTGTTGAAGTAGGTAAAAATAAAATAAAAAAATACTCAAAATAAGTAGAGGGTATATAGTAGTGTTATTAAACTGGAACAGTTATTGACTTGTTGGTATTAGATTATTGGATCACTGGTTAACCGGTGATATTGGATTTATAAAAAAGAATATATAATAAATGAATGAAGTTATACTTATACTTTTTTTCCTTGTAATTTTTTTTGTTATTGTTGTATCAAAATCAAATTATAAACTATCAAGTAAGAACGGCCAACAATAATAAAGTGATTGTAAGGGAAAATAGATTATAATTATAACTTATCTCATAATAAATATAGAAATAAAAGTATTTTAACTAGATTGGAGCCTAGTGGTAAATGGAATCTATATAGCATGTTGCTATTCTTAAAAATTTTACACATAACATACAAAAATTGGTAACAGGTCTAGTGTGGTTGCAATAACATTGAAATATACTAAGATGTGTTGAATATAATGATTGTGTAGAAAGCAAATGAGGGGAAGGACGGTTTTAAAAGTATAAGTAACGATCTTATATATATTACTAACAATTAAATTTGCAAATCAAGCATTTTATATTTAGGGTTAAATACTTTAATTTTTCTAATATATCAACTTTAAAGTTTTGCATCATCCCGCAAATTTGTGAAATGTACATTTTTTCCTATGAAGTTCTAATGAGATTTCAAAATAGTATAAGGGGAAGGATATTGTAAAATCAATTAGTGTTATTATTAATGTTATTACCAATTAATTTCACCGTTAAATCGATTATGTTGATCTAACAGTTATATTTATTTTCATTTTTGTATGGTTGCCGTTAAATCGATTATGTTGATCCAACGGTTATATTTATTTTCATTTTTGTATGGTTATGATTTTCCATATTTAATGCTTTTAACCATACAAAAATAGAAATAAATATAACCGTTCCATCAAAATAATCGATTTAACGGTGAAATTGATTGGTAGTAACATTGATGATAACACTAATTCTAATTGGTTGTTACAATATTCTTTCCAATACTATAATTGTTAGTAATGTAGTGAAAAATGACAACGCAGATTTCATTGTCACATCCGTTGGGCTTGATTCAAATTTTAAATTTAAATATTGTTACTGATATGTTTTTGCATATTCAAATCTAGTAATTAACATTAAAATATGTAAAATATTGTGCAATTATTTATATAAAAGATGTGTAAGAAATACGCATTATATGAGAGAGATGTTTTAATTGGAAATTAGGAAAGTCAAGGTGATATAAAAAAAAATTACTTATCAAGAAAGTTCTTATGGACGTCTAAATAATTGAAACAAACCGAAATGAAGTGAAATGAACCGAATTGGTTTCATAAACTAGTTCAAAAATTGAACTGAACCAAAAATAACCGATTTTGAAAACCTGTTCAAAAGCCGCCCGGAACTTGTTTGAAACCTGTTCAGAACCATTTTGCATATTTGAATTGGTTTTGAGACATAAACCAGTTTTGAACTGTTTTCCAACCAGTTCTAAATTGATTTTGAACCGATTCGGGAAAAGTAAAATTGGTTGGGATTAAAAAAAAAAAATTGATTTCTTTAAATCGAATAAGTTTTACCAGTTAAATTTGGTTTAGCTAAAAAAACCGATTCGGATGCTCATGCACACCCTTAATAAACCGATTCGTCTACTAAAGTTGCATTGGCAGATTTTGAAACTTTCTTCATAAGTGTATTATTTTGAGATTGTTTTTACCCCTTCTCATCCTTAAATATAGTGTTGAGCTGAAATATAAAATTTCATGTGACTGATTTTTTTTTTCCTACTTACCAATATTTATAGCATCTTGGATTGTCGTTTGTTTGTTTTTATCTAGTTGATGGGGATAACACAGTTTCTACAAATAATTTATTTTTACTTTTTTATGTTTTCTAAGGATATTCTCACTCTTTGGTAGAGGGTAAAAAATTTTATCGTTAGCCTCAAATTACTCTTATTTTTACAGCTAAAATTTTAAAGGACGAATAATTTCAATGCATCTTACAAATCTCGAGATGATAAAAAAAAAGTGATTATCTGTATGGTTTTTTAATATTTAATGGGTTGTAGTGTATGTTTTAAAAATTTATGGGTATAAATTATCGCTTTAATGTTTATAAAGTGAATGTAGATAAGTTATCTATATTCGCTCCCAAAATGACGTCGTTTCTGGTTGAAAACTTTAAAAATTATAATAAAAAAGACTATTATAACCCTGAAATAAATTATAATTACAAAAATAACTTGATTTTCGCTTCAAAATGACGTTATTTTGGACTCAATGTAGATAAATTATCTACGTTGACAGTAGAAAAACTAACCCATAAATTATAAGATTTTAAAGTTAGTACGCTGAAATAGATTTCGGCAAAAATGTTAAATAAAAGCATAATTTAACCTATAAAAAATTATTTATAATTTACATTTGTTCTGTAGTTACCCCTCACGTTTATTTTAACTCCCCTAACATTAAATAAAAAAACTAACTAGATAAGTATGATTATTTGGGTTAGCTTTATCACCCTCATTCAAAACAACGGCTTTTAACACAACAAAATAAAAAATAAAAAAAATTACATTCTAGGTCCAATATCTTCACCTCTGTCTCTCTCTTCTATAATATAATTAGAGCACATAATCAAAGAGAATCAATTGTGGGAGCATAGCATCAATGTGAAATGTGAGGCATCTAATAAATGAAATTCTCTGCAGATTATTATATTTGTTTATTCTTAAAATTTTCTGAAGGAAGAGAGAGAATATTTCACCAATGAGAGAGATAGAGATCAGGATATGAAACCCAAAATTTAACTTAAAAAAAAAATTATTATTTTCAAGAGCCGCTAATGTAAAATTTAATCTAACTATAAAAAAGTGATAATAAATATAACGGCCCCATATTCAATTTCATAGTTGAGGTATGTTAGAAATATGAATTAGATAATTCTCCAAAAGAAAAAAGAAAAATATGAATTAGGCTCATTCAATGGGCTGGTAAAACAAGAATTTTTTATATCTTGCTTATTTTAAAAGTATTTTTTACAAAAGTTAAAACTATTTAAATTTTAAAAAAAGTATTTGATTTTTGACTTCTACATATTTCAAAAATTTAAATTTTTAGCTTAAAAATTGTTTTTGGCTTTTTATAACTTCAGCTTTTTTTTTAACATTATAGCGAGAAATGCTTTTTTTTTTTTTTTTTTTTTTTGAGGGGGAACAACTTTTGGAAGAAGAAAAAAACTAATCCAAATGGCTAGTAGTCCGTTTATTTACTGCTGAAATTATCACCATTAGATAAGTAATTGTGTATAGCTATGTCAAAATGAGTTGTGTCTTGAAATTTCATTATTTAGTTCATGAGACTCGGTTCATGCTCTTTGATGGAGAAATGCAAGTACTTGAAGACTTGCTCCAATTTTCTACTCTAATAACAGGCTATGAAAACAAAATTTCAAATCAATCAAACATTTTTTTTGTTTTAGTTTTCCAAAATAAAGAACTGTTTTTAAAAACAAATCAAACATGTCCTAAGACAGTTAAATGTTGAACTTTCAAAGTAATATGTTCCCTGTCATTCCATTTATTAATTAGTTTATAATATCTCAGAATCCTAAATTTAAAAAATATATATAAAACACTCTATTAAATAAAAAAAGAACATATAAAATCACATAAGAAATATTGCATAGATAATAAAAAATTAAAAAACGAAAGGACATTTCTTTTTCTATCATAACAAAATGATAGATCAATTGTTACTTAAGATACACCCTAGACTCTGAAGTCCTATAATAACAATTATCGTTCATACAACAATGCACTATCAAACAAGGACATCAGGGACGTGCATTATTTTTGCTAGCAATGTTAAACATCAGTCTAATTTCCTCCTTAAATCACTTCTGTTTCAGATAATAAATCAAGAAAAATACACATTTTAATACACTCTACCCCCTCTCTCTCTCTCTCTCCTTAAACATGTGTAGTGTAAAGAAAAGTGTGAAAAAATGATGTGCAAAGAGCAAACATCATTTTCCTTTTTTCACAGTATCTGGGAATTAATTTTCCCTTCCTTCCCTTACAGTTTCATCTGCTTCCATTAAAAAATACTAAACGAGGGTGCATACAAAAGCTGCTCCAAACCATGTGAAAGATAATGTAGCTCAACCGTCGTACTTCTGCTGTATGGAAACCTGTGCTATTACTTCTCTCCACGTTTTCTTTTGAGTGATCCACTTAGAGCAGCCTTAGCTTTTGCCCACTCTTTCAAAGAAGCAGCACTTCTCATAAATGTGCAAGTTTCGCCTATTTCAACATCTTCAGTGGATCTTTCCCTTGGACTTGTTTCAATTTTTTTCTCAGCTAATGGAGTAGAAGCAATATCATTGGTAACAGCATGGTCACTCTTTTCTGGTATAATCTCACTTAAATTAAACCCATCACTGACAACCTCATCAGTAGTATCCTTAGCTACACCATTATGCTTGCAGTCATTGGAATTAGCAGGGTCCTTAATAGGCTCCTTGGCCATTGGCTCTGGGAAAGTAATGCCAGGCAAAATTTGTGAAATGCTAAATGAACTGTTATTCTCCCGAACCAGTTGTGTCCAGGATTGCTTTTGCAGCCACGAAGCACCTCTGCCGGTCTTATTTGGCGCCACATTATGCTGAGCTTCTGCAAGTTCATTTATTACTGGTTTATTGGTAGGCTGAGATTCAGCAAGTTCTTTTATCACTTGTGTATTGGTAGGTTTGCTCCCTAGGTATCCATCTCTTTCCATGTTTTCAGTTTTGTTGTTTGTAGCTAAGGGTGCCGATGAACAATCAGATCTTTGTTGATCTGTACCAGAATCGAACTTCGGCAATATAAGAGAGGCACTGAAAGCAGCATTACCTCCGTCACCAAGAAGTTCTCTCCATGAAGACTTTTGAGACCATGAAATTTTAGTTGATTCCCCAAAACCATCTTCTAGCTCAGTAGGTTGGCCATCAGATTCCAGTTCATCTGGAAGGGTCTGCTTATCACTCTTGCCTACACAGGTAGTAGTGGACAGACACCCATTGCTTTCCTTTTCCAATTTGGGAAGTGATTTCCTCTTCTTGACCTTGTTAGGATTGCTATTACTCCTTTTCTTCTCTTGAAGCATACTCTTGTTGGGTTCTTCCTTAGTAATTCTTGTTTTATTCGACCATGATTCCTGAAGATCCAAAATAGCAATTAGATAGAACAGATGACCTATTCTTTCATAAAAGGAAACTGACACTAGCACTTAGACATTACCTACCTAACATGATTTTATTAACCCTCCCCCACCCCCCCCAAAAAAAAAAGAAAGAAAGAAAGAAAAGGAAAACCTGATTTTCCAAGATCCTTTCAAGTTCCTCGTTCCCTATTAAAGCTGCTTTATTTTTCTTCGTACCGATGTTAATTATGAGATCGTCTTCATCTGTTGCACTATCATCTAAACCATCAGATGATTCAAAAGGATCCTGCTCCTTTCCAAGATGCTTGGTGTTGGAAACTTTCTCTTTTTCAAATAGCTTGTTCATCACAGCATTCATTATGTTAATTTCTTCATCATTCATTCCATCACTTTCTGCTGCTGTCCCATCAAAAGTTAGCTTTTCTTTTTCTGTGCGAAAAGGAGGACAGTGTTCCTCACAATCACAAAAATGCACAGGGAGAGGAGGAACTTTAATATTCTGGAAACTGTATTTGTGCTTGCCAGTTCCACTAAATGGTATGGATTTCACCTGCATAAGTATACATGTAGCATGTAAATATTGAGTCGAGTCATTTGATTTAATACTAATATATTTATACATAATTAAATATAGTGCATATGCAAGAATACATTCTATATAACTAATCTGTTATATTTATACACAATGAATCAATAAAGCAATTTAAACATCAAAATCATTGCAATGAAAATGCTTCTTAAATAATTTATCAATAAATGTAAATAGAGTTTTATTTTTTAACTACAAGAATTGGTGATGACGCATTTCCTCAATAAGGGTGCAGCAAAGGAGAGGAGCAATAATTATGAGATGAGAAAAGTAAATCCTAATAATTGGATCTTGCATCAAGAGTGACACTGTATGAAAATAGCAATAAGAAGGCCTAAGTTTTAAGATCAAATATTTTCTACATTCTGGACTAATAATGATTAGAGTACTGATTCCATAGTAGATCATAATAAAAATAAGAAATTGTTATTTTAGCATTATTTTATATTTTAGTCCTAGGGCTATGCAGTAATTTCCACATGTCCTACTGTATTGTTTGGGCTTGGGTTTATGCTATTTACTATTTAGGTGTTATTTATTTCTTAGTAGTAGAGAGTTTCAGCCATTATTAGATTATGTTTCTAATCATAAATTCTTGGAGGACAGGCAATATGAGGCCTATTTAAACAGATGTAAAGCTTTCTTTCAGACTTAAAGTTCTGTTTTACAATATTTCATTAAATTTCTATTTACCTAGCTATATGATCCAATCAAACCCTTGGGGTGAAGTCTAAATTTATTTTGTTCTTCTTCTCACTTCTCAGTTTCCTTTCCTGTTTTTTTTATTATCTACACATGCCCCGAAGGCCAGATATAACTTCCTTTAGCAGACATTCCCAGATATTAACTCAACAAAATCCTGGTAGATTCTTTCTTGAATTTACTCTAAAACACATGAAACCCCAAACATTAATTCCACATGTACTGTTCACAGCACCCAAAAACACATCAATCTAACCATAAAAGATAAAAAAAAAACCCTCCTAGCCCTATTGCCTACATACTCCCTTACCCTCAACAATACCCAATAACACTTTGACCCACCTGTTTGCCACACCACTTTCACGCTAGAAACCCTAATCCTAACCTATTAAATCAAAAATAACCCTTCTTCCATCCTACATTATAATGACTAGGAATAAAAGACCATTAAAGATCTTTGTCTTTGGGCCTTTAGCCCCATTTAGTGACCGAAAAAGGAAAGCCATTAAAGATCATACTATCATTAACAAATTCATACAATTTTTTTTAACTTTATTTTTTAGTCTCAACAATTCAAGCAGGATCCACTTGTCAAAGGATAATTATAGCGAAAGATCTGACTTGTTTTTTAATATCAGAAGATATTAAATTGACAGAGGAATATAAGATATATCCTCCTAAACATAATCATAGTACCTAAAAGACAACAATTAGCCTTGAAGACTCAAGAATTACACAAAATTTTCCAAATTTCTCTACATATCGAACATGGACAGTCCTTAAAAGAACACACGCATGGAAGAACACCAAACCAAACCTATCACATTACATATGTAAAAGCAAAGAGCAATCCAAAAAAAAATGAGAGCATTTCGATCTAGCTTAACCAAAAACAGCACCAAAGAACAGCTTAAACTACATACATGGCAGAACAAGCTAGTCCACACACATAACACAGCCATATATACCCTAAAAACTGAAGAAACAAAAATAAATCACAAAGAATATATCAAGATATATAAATAAATAAAGTAAGCAATATTATATTCGTAATTGACCTTTCTTAATCTGGGAAAGAAAATGCGGAGGTGGTTTGCATTTGCATTTGAATTTGAATTTGAATTTGAATTTGAAATGGGTCTTGTATTTGGCATTTTCTCCATGTCCAAGGAAACATGTTCAGTAGTGGGAGATTCGCTACTAAGAAGAGCATCTTGATCCCATTCTCTTTTCAAACGCTCAATATAATGTTCTTTAGCTTTCTCGAGTTTTAGTTTCCCACCCTTCCACAGACATCCATTATACTGCATTCCAAACCAACACAAAATATTAAGAAAAGAAAAAAGAAAAAAGAAAAAAAGAAAAAAAGTAGATGTTAGATGAAGTGATGAATTGGAAGGTACCTTGCTGAAAAGCTTGGAAAGGGATTTAGGATCGGTGAGGAAGTCAAGGTACGCAAAACTGCGACCTTTGGTTCGGATTGTTTGGAGTCCTTCAACGCTTCCCAGTGAACCAAACAACCTACGAAGATCTTCGTCGCTCACTCCTTCACCCAATCCTCCTACGAATATTCTCACTCCTCTGTTCTCTTCCTCCTCCATTCCTCTCCAACGTTTCTCTCTGTTCTTCTAACACAAGCCACCACCGTACCAAAAAATTATAATAGGGTTTCCTTTCTGACTTGGAAGGGGAGAGAGAAGCACCGTTTAACGACACCGTTTTAATGAGAGGAAAAAGAAAACCACGTAATTCAATTTGTAGATTGACCATTGTGCCCTGCTATTTAAAAATATTTAACATCTTGCCCATTTTTTTAAACTATTTATCAATTTTAACCTCTCCTTTTTCTTTGGGCAATATGTCTATCCTGAAACAAGATAGACGTTTGTTCTCCAACTGAGACAACAAATCGTGGGATTCATCAGAGTTAAAAAAAAAATTGGCATAATTTTTTATGGGTGTGCAGGAGAAAAATGTTTTCTTTAAAAGCAGAAAAGTTACTTTTCTCTCTTCTTTTATGGGGAAAGTGTTTACAAATTTAAATGATATAGCATTTTTTTAATTCAAATAATATCATTTTAATATATATTTGATGGTTTTTTATATTATCTTTCTTCCGTAAAATTAGGAAAAGAGAAAATGGGGGAGATGGAAGGTAAAAAATGGCTAATTATGCACCAAAACAATATCATTTTATCTAAAATAATATAAAATTATATCATTTAAAATTACAAACATTATCAAAACTATATATTAATCTGCCATGTTTGACCACTCGAGTAAATGTTGGCTAGAAGTTTATTACAGTAGGCTTTGCCATATTTTCTTCATCCACATTTTTTATCCTAAATTTTCTTTCATTTTTCGTCTTCCTTCCAACCTAATAAATTTACTTTCACCCTCGTATCCTTTAACCTTTACCATTATCAAATCATTGTCATTACCTTTAGATATTCAAATTTTTGTGCAAAAATCTGAACTCATCTCCAAACCATAATCCTAATCCATGGTAAAGATGAACTCAAGTTACCAACAATATATTGCAATTGTCTACCATAATGGTAGGCGGTTAAAAGGTCCAAATGGTGCAATTTTTTAAAATCAAAGGAAAACAATGCAAATCAAAGATGACACTACATACAACGATATCAATAGAAGAATTCACAAAAATTGGGACTGTAAGGCAACCAATGCATTTCTCGATCAATAGCCAACTAGGAGACTTCTAATGGGTACTACTGATGATGAAGATGTGGATTGTATGATTAATGTATATGTTAGCCAGAATAAGCAAATATTTATTAATATATATGCTCAAGTTGATGTTGGTCAACCGTTTTCTTTACATATTCAGTCGATGCGATGAGCATTGAATGATATTGTGGTCATGAAGGCAGATTTGTCCGCTCATTTATTCCTCTATAACACCTTGTATTTCTAAATGTATAATTATATGTAAAAATGTGAATTAAGGGGTAGGATTAGTGAAAATCTTGAACTTAGGGTCAAAATATGTAAAAAGAGAAAAATGGTAAATTTACCAAACAAGTAATCCTAGGCAACAAAAATTGAGTAGAAATCTCAAATGAAAAAAATAATGCCGGAAATGGATTCAGAACGAAAAAACGAGTGGATAGGCAAATTTCAGAAAATTTGATGAATAGTGATTTTACCTGTGTAAAATATTGCGGTATAATTGTACCGATAAGAGAAAAAATATGATCAGTATTTTTAGGAAGTAAAAATATGACGTGAACGGGAAAAATACGTAGGTTATGAATTTTTGAATTAAAATGGATGGTTTACGAAAGCTAGGTGACGTGTGGGACCCACTTAAGTCACTTTATCCACTTAAGTCACTTAAGTGAGTAAAGTGACTTGAAAATCAGATTTCTCACATTTTCTCTGTCCTCTCTTCTTCTCCCTCGTGAGCTCTTCACCGTGGAAATAAGGAAAGTGAGCTTCTCAAATTAAAACCTTGAGTTAGAGCCATTTTTGAGAGAAACTCCTAACTACAAAGTTGTTCCCCTTGATCTTGTGAGTGAGTTTCATGTAGAGTGCACCTTGTGGGGATTATTGTGTGAGGAGAAATTCTCCATATATAGCCATTAAATTTGGAGCTTTTTGGGGAAATTTTGGTGATTCTTGTGTTGATTCATTGGTTGAAGATCGTCTTCTTGGACCCTAGGAAGCTATTGGTGGTAACTTTCACACTCTTATTGAGTTTTCATTGAGATCATAAATTGGATGAAGGTTTTGATTACGTGTGATGAGTTGTGATAGTTAGGAACATTAAATGTTATGTCTCCTTTGGAATTAAATGCTTAGAATGATAAATGATGATGATTGATGCAATAAAAATTATGGTGATTTGTAAATTTGTAACTTACGAAATTTTGATGAGATTTCAATACTTTGTGAATTGGTATGATGGTAGGATTGAATAATTGAGTTATGGAGCATTGGCATTAGTTAATTATAGGATTGTATGATATGTGTAAGTGTTAATTTGGATTGAAAACCTTGGAGCATGATTCCATGTGGAATTCGACCTATAGGTGTTTGGAGGAAAAAATGGTGTGAAACATATGGTTTGATCAATGGTTGATGCTTTGGTGCCTAAGTGGTGGAATGGTGAATTAGTTTGATGATTAAAATGGTTGAGGTAGTTGAATTAAATGTAAGATGACAATTATGCCTAAGTGGTTATGTTTGGTTATAATTATTGTGAAGTTGATTAATTGTTTGCAATTGGTTGATGGTCATTGTTGTTTGATCATATAGGTTGCCTCTCACGACGCAATAGAAACAGATTAAGCTTGGAGCTTACGTGGAAGAGCAATATTTGAGGAGTTGAGGTAAACTCTTGGAACTAGAGTTTTATCCCCTTGTGTGTTCCGCCACACCTAGTGGAAGGTCGTGGTTGGATTTTGTGCTCTTTGACATTGTGTGAAATTGTATGTTCATGCATTGTTGCTTTGATTGTGTGACATATCTATGATCTCTGGCCAGTAGATGTGTATGGTTTGGATTTCCGCTAGAGATATCCCTTTGGGAGATTCCGGTCCAGTTTTACCGTGGGGCTGTCTCTGGGAGCAGTACCAGGATGATCCAAACGTGGGACTTTCGCTGGATATGTCTCTTGAGGAGTTCCGGTTGAGTTTTGCCATGGGGTCCTCCCATCTATGGGAGAGGCACCAGGAAGCTTCTCGGGAGTTATATGATGGGGTCCTTGAACGGAATCCTTATGTGGATGTTCTTGGATGTGAGCCCGGTGTGATGTGATTTTATATGTTATGCATTTTATATGATGATCATTGTATGCAAATTGAGTGAGCCATGGGGAGAATGATCCTCTAGTACCCTTGGATGAGAGAAAAAGAAAGCATGGAAGATTCAGAAGAAAAAGGCAAATCTCAACCTTAAGTTGTCTCATCCAGCAACTTGCTTCATATAGAGCATTGTTCACACCGCCTTTTCATGCAATCACGGAACAACTCAAGAAGAATTACAAGTGTTGCCATCCATTCTTCTTGCCTATAAATAGGACGTTCAAACATGAAGAAAGTATCAAATTCCTTAAGAAAGAGATCACGTAGGATAGTTTAAGTTTTTATCTTTCAGTTGTATAGTTTTAACAGTAGTTAAGTGACAGCAACCCTTCCCTCCTTCTCTTATCACCATTTGAGACTCCTCACGAGCATCAACCATATTTCTCCATTTTATTCCTTGTAATTTGAACTTATTACTTATTAATATATGTTGTTATTTCTCTTCTCTTCCATTTGTTATCTCTAAACTGAATCTCGAGTTTATGGGTGTGCATGAAAACCTTCCCGGAATCAATTCTTTTTTAATTTTTGTTCCCGAGAACAGAAATGGATGGGAAACTCGTTTGGTAAAATCAGTTTATTTTTTTGTTCCCGGGATGAACCGATTTAATTTTTGTGCTGGGGAACAGAAAAAAGAATCAGAAAATTTCTGCTTTTTAGTTCCCGGCATAAAATGAGAAACACTTATCTCTCTCAATCACTCTCCACCTTTACCATCATCACCACCACCACCATCATCCCGACACGACTGTCACCACCATCGTCGCCGCTGTCATCGTACCACTAGTGTCGTCGTCACCACCCATCACCACCACGATGCCACCGCCATCATTACCACCTCCTCCACTACCACCACCTCCACCTATCACTACCACCATGCCACCACCACAACTACCACCGCCGCCGCCACCACCACTATCACCCTCATCGTCACCACCACTACCGCCACCAACCACCACCACCACCACCATCATTGCAACCACTGCCATCACACGCCATTGCCACCACGACCACCACCACTACTATCACCACCAATACCATTGTCGCAGCCACTACAAACCACCACCACCTCTGTCGCCGCCCCCAACCACCACCACCATCGTCACAGCTATTACCGTCACCACTGCCACCATTACACCACCCTCGCCAATACCATCACCACGCCATCGCCACAATTACCAACACCGCCATCATCACCACCATCACCGCTGCAGCCACTGTCACCACCACCATGATGCCTTCACAACCACCACCACCATGTCACTGCTATCATTGTTGCCGCCACCAACCACCATACCCACCACCATTGTCGCAGCCGCCGCCATCATCTCCACCACTACCACCGTCGCCGCCACCATCATTGCAGCCACTGCCATCACAACCACCACCATTATCTTCACCACGTCATTGCCACCACCACTACCGTACCGCCACCGTCGCCACCACCATGCCACACGCCGCCGCCACCACCACCACACCATATGGAAAGGAAAGTGATGATTCAAAATTTTGTTATATTTAATAGGAATTATTTTTTATTATATTATTTGTTGTGTTATCAAACACAATTCTCATTCTCGGAATAAAAATAGAATATGTTATCAAACACATTTTTTTCTCAGAAACTGTTCCAAGGCACAAAAATAGAAAAGAATTGTTTCTTTTCAGAAACAGTGCTAGGGAATATAATGGTTGTCATGCACACCCTATAAGACTTCAGTTTGGAATAATTATGTTTATGTTTTCAGCCATGGGCTAAGTTATTTTGGAATGGAAAAACTGTGAAACTCTTAAAGAACTATGCT